AACAACATTATCTTCAATAGACTGATATTATAAGAGAGATAACGCTATTAAATTATTCTCGACAAGATTGACTTCAATAGTCTCATATTGTAAGGGAGATAACTATATCATATGATTATAAAGTGATAACTCACCAATTACTCAAAGAAAAGGTGATTACTCACGGATAACAAAGGGATTACTCAACGTTAAAAAAAGTGATTACTCACAAAATTACATTGTGATTACTAAACGTTTAAAAAGTTGTTGGTCACCCCTTACTCATTTATTACTCACCGATAAAAAAGTGATTACTTACCGATAAGAAGGTAATTACTCCCCGATAAAAAAAAAAAAGGGATTACTTACCGGTTTGAAGGTAATTACTTACCGATTACAAGTGATTACAGAGTGATAACCCACCAATTACTGACCGGTAAAAAAAGTTATTACTCACCGATTACAAAGGGATATCTCACCTATTACAAGGGATTACTTGCCGGTTACAAAGAGATTACTCACTGATTACAAAATGATTACTAGTCGACTACAAAGTGATTACTTCTCGGTTACAAAGTGATTACTCACCTATTACTCACAAATTACAAGATGATTACTCACCGATTACCAAGTGATTAGTCACCGATTAATCACCGGCTACAAAGTAATTACTTACCGGTTACAAAGTGATTACTCGTCGATTACAAAGGGATTACTTACCGGTTACAAAGAGATCACTCACCGGTTACAAAGAGATCACTCACCGATTACAAAGTATTTACTCAACGATTATAAAGTAATTAATCACCGATTGCAATGTGATTACTCACCGATTACTCACCGAGATTTATACTCTTTTGTATTTTATTTGTTTTAATGTTTAGATAAACATTTTATTGTAGTCTGAGGCTTATTATGGTTTGTTTTTTACACATTCGGATGTATTTTGGTGTTTAGAGAAACCTGTATTCTTAGCCAATCAAAACACAAAAGCTGCAGACGATAAGAAAAAAAACATGGCGGCCCCCATGAAAAAATGTGACCGGAAGAAAAACGGAAGCTTATTATGGTTTTTTTTTTTACACATTCGGCTGTATTTTGGTGTTTACAGAAACCCGTATTCTTAGCCAATCATAAAACAGAAGCTGCAGACGATAAGAAAACAACATGGCGG